TTAGCAAAATAAAAGTTTTTGCAATATTAATAATAAACAGTCAAGTAATTTTAATAAAATACTGGGTAACACTTTACTTAAAGCCTTTATGTATAAGTATAACAGTAGTTTTAAGGCATTACTGCACTTTATAATGCATAGTACAATCTCATGAATAATTGTAACCACAGTTAATACATTATAACACATATGAGTTCATTTGATTCGATTTTAAATCAGAAATTTACAACATGCTCATCATAGCACTAATCACTAATTGAAACTTATGATTATTTACATTAAATTTTTTCCCCACATTCAGTCAATACATGATTTCCTTCAAATCTGTCAAAGAAAAATCTCCTTTTCCGTATTCTTTCCTTGCTTTTTATGTTCTGCCTTGTTTTTAATATACATTGAAATGACAACAGACAAAAAAAACTCAGCTTTTCTCTTAGATAGCAAAGACACCACTGAGGCCGAGTGCTGTCCTAAAAGAGCTATCCTCAGTGGATTATGATACAGTTGTTAGACATGATGAGATGTGGTACGTGATGAGGCTGTGACTGAACACACTTTGTATTTCCTGTTTGATTGTCTATGCCAAAAAACAACCCCTCCTCTTCCCATCCATTCCCAGCCATGGACCAGTTAATCCATTTTCAAATGTACTGTAATAGTTTGCTCACCCAAACACATGAACATTATAGAATTTCCATGGATAAGAATTTGGGTCAGAGGTAAGCCTGGAGGAGAAAGGACACACTGCAGAGCTGTCACATAAGACTCAAGACATTTCTGAAACAAAATGGTCAAACTGTGAAATGCTAAATGGTTTATCTCTTGTTTACAGAATCATACAGACATTTTAAAGACAGCTCTATGGGTTTTATGAGATATATGTGCGTGGGTGAATTTAATGTTATTTTTTGAATGGTACGTTTTAAGATTAGTACAGTGGAAAGTCAGTTACAGAGAGGGTAATAAGGGACGCTTCCAAAGAGGAAGTTTAACTTGTTGAACTTTTTGAACTTGTCTTCTCTACACTCAAAACATTAACAAATGGTCAATGAAGGACATGAGATAATCTTAACAAATCATAACATTTCTTAATGCTTCGTACATTAAATATATATAACACACTGTTATGATCTTTCAGTGACCTTTTCTGAAGGTTACAACATTAACCTAGTACGTAAGTGCTGACAAGCGGATGCCTTTATGAGCGAGTTATTAAGTCATTCAATCCATTTGTTAAAACAACAGGAATAAAACTAATGATGAGACGATTCTTAATAGCATACTAACATACTGCTATTGCTATTTCTGCTATATTAGACATAGTAAAAGAGTATGCTATTTTGAATTTAGATGCTGTCTTTGTAATTGAGTTAATGAATCATTCAATCAAAAGATTCATTCAAAAACGCTTATTTATTAAAGTTCTGCTGTGGCTGCATGTGGAACTATTTTACGTGATTTAGCAAAAATAGACAATATTGTGTCTAATATGTCCTGCTGTCATGCTGATAATTTGAAACAACATCCTTGCTTGTGTGATATTGCTTGTGTCATATTTATAGAGTGCAACTCATACTATTTCCCATTGCTTTTTCTCATAAGGATTAAAAAAAAAAAAAAGTCTTCCATAAAGAGTTATAAGCCACGAATCAAACCAACCAGCTACAAGGTAAATCACAAACTTTGAAGCAAATTTTTTTTTTTTAAATCGGTCAAAAACATAAAGGTACAAGACTGTGTGTACTTAAAGGGATGCTTCACCCAAAAATGACAATTCTGTCATCATTTACTCACCCTGATGTTGTTCCTATCATGTATTTGTAATTTAAAAGTGGCTTTAATGAGGGAAAGAACTACAATCCCATGATGCATTGCAAATGATATACAATATTTAAGTAGTTTGAAAGCATAGAGAGACTGACTCGATTGCGCAATTTACAATACTTCATGGGAGTAAGTCGGTATTAAATAGTTCTTTTGGTGCAATTTGCTTGTTTCAATTCCCTGATTGGTGGAGATTTCTTTGCAGCATCATGGGTAATGCAGCTTTTCACCAGAAATTGTGCTATTAAACATGATTATTTGGTTGATTCCTATTCTGATTATAAGATAATAAACAGGTAAAATACATTGTCCTTTAAATATTTGTCTCGCTTGAATTTCTTCATTCATCTTGCCTCAAAGCCACTTGCTAGCAACTGTTTTTCTTTCTGGAAGCTTTGCATTTAGTGAGACAATAAAATATTTTTCTAATCAACATGTTGTGTCTAATTAATTACTTACATGGCAAATAGCCATATAATAAGCAAGACAATGTACATTGCTAAATGAACACCTTCAGGGTAATACAAGATCCCTCCTCTTTGGTTGGGTCCTGATCGCCAGCTGGATGTACATTATCCATTAGATACTGTATGAATGGTTAATTTTGAAGAGGATTAAAGTGTTTATTATTATTATTATATTACAAACAAAGCTCTAAAAACTTAGGGAAGTTTTCTTATGCTTCATATCAGACATAAGATTCTGTTGCATGACCGTCAAGTTTATTGTTCCAAATACATATTTGTATTCAGAGACTAAATATAGCTTATTTACTTTATTTTGCAAATTGAGAGTGGGCTTTGGATGCAAAGATGTGTTTGCATGTCCTCTACCCCACACTGCCAGCCTCTCACTCAACCACTAATTAGATTCAGTTGTTTAAAAAGTAGGTCTCAAATTTTCCCAAACTTTTCTGTTCCTGCATTACCGGGACTCTGTGTCTGAAGTGTTTTCTGAATTTTGCCAACAACTTTTTTAACTGAAAGATTTACATAGCAGACAGCCTGACGCATTGGGAAAAATATTAATTTCCCTGGAATGACGTTTCCATATTTGTGGATGAATGAGTTCAATTTCTCTGCGAGTCAAAGCAAAGCAATCAAGAGTTTGAGGCTCTGCCAGAGCATGACCTTACAAGTAGATGCTTAAGGAAAAGGATAGGCTACTAATTCATACAAAATGATTTACACGCTTCACATGGAGTCTTCATTAATTATTAAATGCAGCATCTTCCTACAATTACCAGAAATGAATCTCCTTCCCTGTTTGAGTTCAGAGCCTCTTATCTTGTAAAATACACATAATATTAACACTTTTTTTCTATTCCACTATCTTTAAAGTGCTGTCTTGATAAAAAAAAAAGAGGCAATTAACATCAAAGAAGCTGAACCTGCATTTTAAGTATTAAACTCAGTCCAGTATTAATCACTCAATCCCATGCATGCACTGTGTTCAGAAACATCACCATTCCTAATGCAATCATGCTGGTGAATATAATTTTTTTTAAAGGATTGGATGGTGTCAAATTGACCTTAAGGGAGACTGAAAGTTATTCCAACCATATCAAGATACATCTGCCTAAGCACCAATTATTCCCGTTATCTAATACATCAAAACATCTGCCCTTTTGAATACAAATTTCCTCTCTCTATATCTATAGTAGATACTAGTATATTTGCATTAAAATCTGTAAAAATCATACAAATGAATAAGGAAAGTGAGGTTACTGTTGTCCATTCCATATGAAAACAATGATCTGTTGACAATTTTGTTCTAGAGTTGTTTTGGAGAAGAAATTTTTAATGCCTGGTTTTCATAAAGCCTTGCCATTAGTAAAACCTCATTTTCTTTGCATAATTTTCAATGTGTTCCAATGATGTGTTTCGAGATAAAATCTGTTCATCTGCACTAAAAGTGCCATAGTTATTCTCTGACAGCAATGAGTCAGTTGGCACACAGCTCAGCGGTTTTATTTTTCAAGAGCAGCGGAAAACCAACAGCATTACACTGAAGAAAGAGGAGTCCAGGAGGCAAAATGGATACAGTTACCAGGATCCCGTCAATTGCAAAGCTTTTGAGAATGCAGCCCAAATGTAATGTCCTGACACACACAAAAAATCTTACAAAAAAAAGTACAGTAGAAGGATTTTTAATCATGTTGTAGCTAAAACTGTCTGTTTTCAAAAAAAAAAAAAATGGAAAATATATATATGGGGGGGGGGACAATAGGAAATATCAGGATAAGTAAATACAAAATCATTCACATAATAATAATTTACAGCTCTCATCTTAGATTTGACTCATTTCCTAATTGTCTCAAAAAGATTCGTTCAAAATGACCTGCAATAAAAAGATTATTTTGAAATAAACTGTTTTTTAAAAAAAAAAAAAAGGTGAAAATATATATATGGGGGGGGGGACAATAGGAAATATCAGGATAAGTAAATACAAAATCATTCACATAATAATAATTTACAGCTCTCATCTTAGATTTGACTCATTTCCTAATTGTCTCAAAAAGATTCGTTCAAAATGACCTGCAATAAAAAGATTATTTTGAAATAAACTCTGGTTTAAGAAGATATTAAATGAGTTTAGCAGCAAAACATGTAAAAGCATTGGCACGAGAAGTAGCTGAATCATAAGCACTGGCAGATATGGCGAACCAGCCACATTTATCAAGCACATACATACTGTATATAGTTGAACTGGTGCCAGTGGAATCAGGGGAGGGATGTGAACTCACACACGCAAAGAAACCTCCACACAACAGCATTCGCACACCCTCTCGCACACAGCATCCACTTCCAAACATACATTGCAGTTAGACACAACACATACCCATTCACAACATTTGCTCGGCACACAGACACGGGGATCATTAGCAAAAAGACAATGACCAAAGAAATCGAAAGCATCACTGCTATCAGCCCTTAGTCCCAAAGTATCACCCTGCTGAATGCTCAGACATTTAGGGTGCAGTAGATCAGTGTACACCAACAAATGATCATTTGTTCTTTTATACAAAGAAAAGTGCTGAACCAAGTCAGAAAGAGCACCTCCAGTGAAATCAGGAGGTTTGTGTCATCTGATACAGTCACCAAAGTCTAAAGTCATTTTGGATGATGCAAAGAGTCTTATCGTATTAAAAATGAAAATGACTTAAAGTTCCCATGATAAACATTTTGTTATCTAAAAGCCTGCTGGCAACCAGTCCAAGATGCAAAGAGACAGAAAGGCTTCCATCCATGACAGGTGTTCTGTATTCACAGAGGCTTTCTGCATCACAGCATGGCAGAAAATCTCCCCAGTGGTCCTAACTAGAAGCCTTAATGTTCGATCGGAGAAACTTGCGTCAGCTCGTTTCATGCACATTGCCCCTGGTTAGGATTTCCACAGGAGTATTTCATGTCTTTGTTCCTCAAAAGTAATGCTGCGTAGGCATTGGTAGACCAATCAGCATGGAAAAGCTGTACGTAAAGATTCTGAATGGTGTACCTCTGAAATCCTTAGAGAAATCCATGTTTGCTGTATCTCCAAGGCCTGGTGCTCTTAGAAAGGCGAGATAACAGAAAAAAAAAAATACAATAACCTTTGTAACTGACCTCCATGTCGCTTGTCCTTGCAGGTGTGCGATAGTCCTAGTAAGTTCTTTTGTGTTCAGCCTTGATTTGTCAAAGTCTGTGAATATTTTTGGATTAGCCCCATTTTATAACACAAATACCAGGAATCCAATGCCTGAGGCGGTAACCTGGAGTCATTTGAGTAGCATGGTGTCCTCAGCTCACCGGGCAGCACAAAAAGCCCTTCGTTTACATCGCAACAGCACCGTTATTGTGCTTTTTTTAGTCTGTGTTCTGAATAACCGCATATTTGTTGTCTGAGGAGATGATCCACCTCAGGAGCTTCAGAAGAATGTGCCTTTGGTGTTCTTGCAGAGAATCTTTTTGAAGGCTCTGCGGAAGTCTTTGTTGAAGATGGTGTAGATGACCGGGTTGAGGCAGCTGTTGCAGTAGCCGATCCAGAAGAAGAACTTAAAGAGCGGCTCTGGCAGGGTGCACGTCTCCGGGCACACAGCTTGTAGGCTGTACGAGAAGAAGAAAGGGAACCAGCAGATGACAAAGACGCCAATTACCACCGCCAGCACAAAGGTGAAGCGCTTCTCTCGGTTCACCATTGCTTTGCGCCGTGCGGAGTTGGGCGTTCCTTCCTGCTTCATCTTCCGGGTCACTAGCTTGGCACCTTTGGCGGTGGCAATCGTGTCTCTGTATTTCTGGATGGAGGCGGGAGAATGGATGCCACTGGGTGTCACGCCTGGGGTGCAAGGGACCTCTAACCCCCTCCCACCTTGCTCGGTGTCTGAGTCAGAGCTCATGCTCTCTCCGTTATTATTGTCGGGCTGTTTCATGGTCTTCTTCGCCTTTTTCCCCTCTTTATTAGGTTTATTAGGAGCCATTTCGGATGAATTCGAAGGAGACGGGGACGGGCACGGCGTGGTCGGCGTCAGGGTTGTCGAAAGGGGTTGCAGATGTTTGTTGGAGATTGGGGGGCTCGCCGCTTGCTGGGCGGACTCCACTTGGGACACGGCCAGTGTCGGAGGCCTGGGTTTTTTCTGCAAGGTAGAGGGCGTTTCATCTCCTCTTCCGTTTTGTAGACCCTCCGTGTGGACCTTGTGCTGAGGGGTTGCGGCATTGGCTGGGACCTCTTTGCGGGGCTCCCCTGGTGGACATCTCGTGCGCTGCTTGGCGATCTGGTAGATCCGCATGTAAACTAAGATCATAATCAGACAAGGAGCAAAGAAGGAACCGATAGTAGAGTACAGGATGTACCAGCGCTCATCGTTGAGCTGACACTGTGGCAGCCCACCTGAATCGGCGCCACCTTTGTTCTTGTTCATGGAGAGTAGCGGTGGGAAGGAGATGACTGCTGAGATCAGCCACACCACCAAAATGGCACATTTGATGCGTTTGGGCGTCCGCTGTGCACCGTACGTGACGGCGCGTGAGATAGACATGTAGCGGTCTAGACTGATGGCGCACAGGTGTACTATAGAGGAAGTGCAGAACAACACATCCAGCGCCAGGTAAATCTCACACCATACAGAGCGGAAATACCAGTAGCCCATCAGTTCATTGGCCAGTGAAAATGGGATGATGAGGGTGGCCACCAAAATGTCCGCGGCTGCAAGGGAGACCAAAAAGAGGTTCTGGGGTCCTCTAAGCGAGCGGCTGGTTAAAACAGCGATGATGACCAGAATATTGCCAACAATTGTAAAAAGAATCATCAACGTGATGGCTGTTGCAAAGGCTGCTGTGGCTTCTTGAGTGTACGGAGGGAGTTTTATCATGCTCTGGTTGCAAGTCGGTGAAGACGTGACTCCGGTGCCGTTAATGTTGTGGCCATGCAGACCCGTGCCGGTAGAGCACGCGCTTGCCATGACTGCCAAAGCGCGGCAACTGAGGGTGCACGTGGACTAATCGTAATCCGAATGTGGACTATTAGTAATCCGAATGTGGCCAGAATAAATTGAATAATCTCGTTTAGCTGCTTTTTTCGCTTCTAAGAACTTAGTAAAATATGTTTGGTTGAAATTAAATAAACGATCTTACGTATAAACGAATGAATACATCGTTTACTGAGCTAAAGATTATGTCAGCCATTGTTATGTCACATCTCGTCGAGTGTTGGTAGTTTATTACTTTGCGTCAAATTTGGAATAAGCTTCATCTGGTTTATGGAATAATTATGGAAACGTGCAACTTGATTTAAAATGCAGGCATCAAATAAATTAGATGTCGGATAGATTACATTTAATTCATAGATTCAAAAATAGAATTTACAGCTCTGTCGATAAATTATCAACATCAGAATGTTTTTTTATAGACGACAGATAATGTGAGAGGGAAAACTAAAACAAAACAAACAAAAACGCCCAGAACCCATGCAAAAATACAAGCTTTGGTGCCACAGATCGATCAATTTCCAATATGAAAAAGCAGCGCGATATTGTGCTTCTATAAATGATTAGAGTAACAATTGTTCAGTTTTAACATTTTACATATTCTAAAGTTCAAATCAGGAATAAAAACGTTATAAATTCTTAACAAGTGCTTACAAAACAAATATATTGGAATGCTTAAATCTAGGCTACCCAGATGCACAAGCCTCCACGGAGTGCGAGGCTTTAAATATAAATCTCCAGAGAGCACGCAGCAGAGCGCGGCGATGTGCCAGTTTCCCCTCACAGTTTTCACAAGTTTGCAAAAAGAATTTAAGCGCAACAACTACCCTGATAAATGATGGAGTCTGATGTAGCTGTGTCGTTGTTACATTCCTGAGTGAAGAAAGTCGGCTTAATAAAGAATCAGAGGCACGCCGAAATTGTTCGAGTATGTCCAAGCACTAAAAAAAAGTATAATGTCTGAAAACAGTTTGTCGTCCGTCTCCCTCCGTGTTTCCCCCGTTTTAGTCACAGCATCTCAATCAGCGATTTGAACGCCTCCTACGTGCCTCGCGCATTATCTCAGAGACAGTCCGAAGTATCGGTGCGCCTCGCGCGAGCCGCTCTGGCTTCATATCTACGCAGCGGTTCTCCTCTGTACCCCAGTATAAGTGATGTCAGGACGGGCGTCATGAGGCGAACTCTTCCCACCCACTTAAAAGCCTGACCTATCCTAACACTCTCTTGACAAATAAACAAACAAAAATACAGGCGTGTAGTGGATGCAATTCAGATAATACGTTTTGGAGAAGTCAACAATCCAAACAACTTATAAAGGAAAAAGGTAACGATTTTGAATAATGATATTTACAAAATGAAGAGTGCAGGATTCATTTGACTATATGTTCGTTTGAGAAGTTTACTTTATAGGCATATGACCATCTCAAACTGTATTGTAAAGCACCAAGTATGAAAAATGAAAGGTTGTTTTTTTTAGTTAAAGGTGCGTAACTGTTCAGAACTACATTTGATCGTGTTGCTGATTACCTCCAACCCAACAAAAAAGCAACAAATTAAAAAGCAAATAAACTGTAAAAGCAACAGAGACCTGTTTGAAACGTTTCAAACTTTAATGACAGACTGCGCTCTCGTGCGTAAAAGGACTCGTGACGGCCGAGCGCTTCCTCCGCACCGTATTCGCGCTTCACTTCATAAAGATCAAGTGGTTTAATGCTCTCTTCAGATGATAAAGTGCAACAGATACCAAAACGCAATTTAGAAGCTCTTCAAGCGTATCCATTAGGATCAGTGGATTTCTATTTCCCGATCACCCGTATTACCGTCGTGATTTTAGCAAAGAACTCAGGACATTGTGTCAAAAGGGTCGAATGAGTCGCACCATTTCCAATATGCAAACAATATGTTAAATAAATATTTGCACGAAGCAATATTTCGAACAGAGCTCTTTAGTGGAGTACATGGTTTTACAGAAATATTTAACTGCTTTTAACATAGATAGATAGATAGATAGATAGATAGATGGATGGATGGATGGATGGATGGATGGATGGATGGCAGGGAAGAGATAGGTTGATCATTAATAAACCTGTGGTGAGGTCTGCCCTCTTATGGACAACAAAACACAAAGCACAATATTTAACCATAATAATTTTTTTCTTCATTCAGCATTCATGTTTCTTTTGAAACATTTTTGCATAACTCAAAACTGTGTTGAGCCTACTCTTATAGACCTTATTGATTGTAGCACCATATTTATTTTTTTGACTAGAGGCTATGCGCTATGCGTTCAATGAATTTTGCTGTTGTTTAATTTAAAACTGCCTGAGTAAGCAAATAAGTTAAAATGTTTGCCATATAGCATCACACCAGAGCTGTTTCAGAGGATGTTCTGAGTTTTGAGGGAGATGAGACCATATCAACGCTGGCATCACAGGATCTGCCTCACATGGGCAACCGCAATCTGTTTCACCCTAAGTGTTTAGAACTTCCATCAAAGTGTGGCAGAAAGCTAAACAAATCAGTGTTTTCAATGCCCACGCTCACAATGAAAGAGTTGTAGATGCTGATGGCTGTAGGCAGCAATGACCTTCTGTGACACGATCACGAATCACCCTGCATGCTCCTTGATTGGTGATCTCTGATTTGCTGATGAATTCCACACAACGCTCCAAAGTTACAAAACAAACTCCTCTGTTTCTTGCTGTACTTCTTCATTGGTATTTGCTCACCTTCAACACATTAAATAATAATCATCATAATCATCATTATAAATCGTGTAAGTTAGAGACCTGCTCATACTTATAGATTTTTAGACTAACACTGCCACTTTGTGGCCTCCTGTATTACTGCTTGGCAAGAAGAGTCAGCTTTTTTTAATTATTATTTCATCAGTAGATGGCGCTGTGGTAAAAGATTTCAACTGCTTACATCAGGTGTGGCCAATCCAAAAAAGCATTAAATTTCCATTTTGATACTTTCGCGTGATTACCACAGAACTGAGCAAGGGCAGATAGTAAATGTGTGCCAAAGACTATTGCAACAATGTGAAATAAACTAAGAAATTAGCAACGTTATCTGTTTATGATACCTCCGCAGCTCTGAACGCTTTATTATTGCAACACTAATTTGCAGATGTTTGGGACCAGTACCTTTAGCAAGACTCAAGATTACGGTTTCACGTAATTGCTGTTCTTTTGATCTTTCTGTTCATCAAGAATTTCTGAAAAAAGGCATCATTTCTGAAGGATCATGTGACAGTGAAGTCTGGAGTAATGATGCTGAAAATTCAGCTTTGCATCACAGGAATAAATGATATATTTTGCTATATATTACAATAAAAACCGGTTCTTTTAAATCGTAATAATTGTAAATAATAGTAAATAATTTAAATAATAGTAAATAAATTGTAATAATATTTTATAATGTAACTGCATTTTTGATTAAATAAGTGCAGCCTTGGTAAGCATAAGATAATTCTTGTAAAACATAGGGAAAAAATATAATGTGCAATTCTCATAATGGCTAATTGTGACTATATTTCTCATATTAAGTAAAGTGTCATTACTTGGACTTTAATATCTTACATGGAAGGTGGCCTGTAATACGAATTGGGATTATAATTGGTCAGTGAGTAATAATTTAAAACATGATACAAGACAACAACATTGACTTCTGCATTAAAAAAATGAATCCATCACTTTATTTACATATTGAAGTGAACCACATAGCTTACAAAAGATCTTATTATCAAACAAATCGAATTTAAAGTGCATTGCTTGGATGAAAATATATAAATAAATATTCACAATAGTGCCTATCGTGACACAATTAAACTTGCCTTTAAAATGACCTAAGATCACAGTTTGTCAGGTCTTTGCCCTTTAAAACTTGTTTGAGACTGACAATTAGACAGTAACTTCATGGAAAAACTTGACATTTACCAGACAGAAGACTAACCACACATCACAGCCTTATATGGTCACAGCATCAGTCGCTGCAGTCAAATGGAACATTGACTGATGCAACAATTTCACGGTGTGATGATCTGCACACATACATCCTAACCCTATATTACCGCTCAAGCCAAAATGAAAGCGAAATGCTTTATTACCCATTTTTTGGGTAAGTTGTTTGTCTGTTTCATCAATATCTCATATGCAAGTTATCTTGGGTCGATGTTATATGATCATAGTAGTACGATATCACAATGACATGTGACAAATTACATTTTCCATGTGTCAGCGATGCCATTGTTGTTCAGAAACACTGAAAGCCATTCCTCTATGTTTACTTTGTATTGCCATAAACAATCGAGAACAGGTAGCCAGCTAATGCCATCTATTACCCAAACAAGTTTAGGTAGTTTAAAGGGCACGGTGCCTCATTTGGTCCCCTTATTAAGCATGCATATATAGATAGCATCATACTAAAACTTCCTGAAAGCACCTTTGCAGATCTTTCACAGTCTTTAAGGTCAAAGCTGTGGCCAGTAGATCTGTCTTCTGAAAGTTAGTGGAGTCAGTTCAAGATATTAAAGTTCAAAACGCAGTGCCACTGTTTTTTCTGTCTATTACAGAATAGGGGCACAAAATGTCTGTCTCGAACTGAAGAAGTTGGCCCATGAAGGCTAAGTTGGGTGAGATGACTTGTCTGCGGCGTTTTACGAAGTCAAAGGCCTCGTCAAGACTGACACGTCGAGCGTGTATGAGGTAGGCCAGGCAGATGGTGGCTGACCGGGAGATTCCTGCTTGACAGTGGACCAGCACTCGACCACCACTCTCTTTTATCGAATCTGCAGATGCAACGAAGGTGAACTTTAGTTTTTAGGTCATTATTATATTCCTTAAGGATTCAGAAATTTATTTTTGTTGATGCCACTAGGACTTACCGATGAAGTGGATGGCCTCTGGAAAGAGGACACGTATGTCTGCAGCCAGACTGTCCTCCACCTTCAGAGTTTTGTACTGAAGTTCCTCCTCAAACAGGTTGGGACAGGAAGAGGATACATTGAGCACAGCCGTGATCCCGCATCGCTCCAGAGTCTCCCGTCTGGATGAGTGATGCGCACTGCCCAGAAAGAGGAAGGGGAGGATTTCAACTGGACCACCCTAGAAATCACAAAAGACAAACATCAATGAGTGTATTTAAAGCACATTGTGATATATTAAATGTCGTTGGATAATTCATAACGATTTTGAGATTTCACATAGCTAACCTGATCATAGAGAGGAGTCTTTCTTCCGGAAACAACGGGCTCTGAATCACTGAGAGCAGGATGGTTTGAGCACATGAGAGGAGGGCTAAAGCAGAGCTCTGGATAAAGTGCGAAGAACCCGTCAAATCCACCTAGAAATGGTCAAAGAAAACATTTTGTTGTTAATAATGTGCATTTCATTTTACAGGGTTCGACAAACAGAACAAGCAAACACTTCAAAAAATTTGTAATAAGCCTGCAAGTGTAGCAAAAATTACATTTTCGATTAGAGATAACCTATGGTGCAAATGTAATACACTGTAAAACAAGGTAAATTTCTCCTTTGTAATATCTTATATATATTTGTAATTATTTTTGACTGGAATAAAAACAGTTGATGCAGATGTTACCACATGACGCACATTTTTATGTTACCTGACAAATAATTTTTACAGTGTATAAAGCAGCTATTTTTGTAGTATGCAAATAAGTTACATTTTCCAACTAATAATATGAATATAGTACTATAGAATCGAATTACTTTCGTTGATATAAGATAATATAGTCAGTCTGAGTCATATTAAATCATATTATTCCAAATCAAATCAGAAGTTACCAGGTGAATGTTTTGTAGTTTACCTGCCAAACCATTTTTCCATTTTTACAGTGAAAATAAATGTAAAGAATATAAAGTACTACTATTAGATGGATAGATAGATAGACAGATCATGTGACTTTAAAGCGCTTCATCTATAAATGTTCTTTAATCTAATGTTTTCGTTGGTGTAAGATATTGTAGTCTTCCTGAGTTATATTAAACCATACTGTTACAGTTCATTTAGATGTTATCACATAAAGCTTTTTAAATTACCTGCGAAACCATTTTACAGTGTATAGAAATATATAAAATACAGCAGTTCAGAACTGAATTTAAGCATCCCCCCCAAAAACAATGACAACATGTCTAGTTCGGTGAAGTTTACCTTGTAAAAAGCAGATGTGCGTCGAGGCAGACTGGACCTCTGACTGAAGGGCACTGAGGAGAAGACTGGCCAGACTCTCGCTCTTCAGATCTCTGACCGAGCGACTGTTGTCATCCAGGACCATCACCGGAGAGAAGTCCCCGTTCCGCAGCTGGGCCAGGAGCGACTTATCCGCCACCAGCCACTCCAGGCACACCACGGAGCTCTTGGACCTCCGTCTCAGCATGGAATTCCAGTTGACGTTGCGGGACTCGAGGATGTGCGCTCGGGAGAAGGCGAGGAATGGCCGGCAGTCCAGCACGATGCATCCCCCAGACGCGAAGAGCTCAGAGGGAGTCCGCAAAATATGAACCAACTCACTGCCTGAGATCTCCAGAGGGTCGCCAATACCCATGACCTCTCCAGACAAAACAACAGCCGTGAGGAAAAACGGATATTCTTCACAGCATCAACAACAGCGCGTTAAAATAAATGGAAACGAATTCGTTTGTCCACTAGAGATGAAGAACTGTAAACAATAACAAAAACAGATGACACAAAAGATATATATATATATTATTTTGTTCGTAGAGGCCTGGCGTGTTTTCACAGTATTATTACTTTAAAATGAACATCGAATAATTTTGTCTTTAAATGTCAATTTCGTATAATAGTTCTCAGTTTTTCATCAAAGCTTAGTTTTGAAGTCCTTTACTTGTCAGCAGATGTGATTCTACAGTAAGGCGGGGTTGGAAACAGTATTTGTATCGCGTCTACTCCGCCACAGCCACGCCTTCGTTTTCCACATAAGGAACAGACGTCACGCACGGAAGCACCATATATGGCCCGTTGACTTAGACCGACATTCCATATATGGCTCTTGATGCGCTCACCCCTTTTTTCCCACTGGCACGTGGTCGTTGGGGTTACCCGTGTTTTTTATTTTGTGACGTGAGTTTAAGCAGTACCATAGAGCCGTAGAACCGCAACACACACACACACACACACACACGTTAAAGCGCGTTCTATTATGACACCTTTGTGGTTGACTTGAGGGCTTTGGGCAAGGTCACGTTAAATCAGGAACATCAAACCACGCGCTGAAGGCGATGATGTATTTTCATGCTTGACCATATCATGTCATTTTGTGTGGGTAAAATACACCGCGCTGCAATTTTCCATACAGGTGTACAGTTTCAGTGGGTGATGCAATTTATTAAAATGACAAATAGATATAAAAGATGATAAGAAAAAGCAAAACCCACAAACAATGCAGTGTATTTATTGCTATAATACAATTTATAAAGATAAGTGCTTTGCAAACAAAGAAAAATAGAAATAAAGAAACAACAAAAAAAAAGTTTATTAAAAATAAGTGGACCAGTAGATACCGGTTAGATTAAAATAATATATTATTATTTTGTTTTATTGAAAATAACAGTGCATTTCAAAGTACAGTGCAGCCCAATATTTAGTCATAAGTAAAAAGTTGTGTTTTCACATCATGTGACTATGAATCTGACATCTGCAGGTGGCATATTATCTAAACACTGTTTGGAATGAACCCTAGACATTTCTAGTTGATTTGATCATACAAATCCTAGAGGTTTATTAGGATTATATGCAGTAAGCATATTTGCAATTCATTTAGGTGTAAAAATAATAATAGTAATTTAGAAATGTACCTAATTTTTCCTTCAAATTCTTTAATATGTTCATCTGACCTCATCAGCGGATATTATTGAAGTTTTTATAGACGTTAAAAATGAAGAAATTAAAATAAACAGATAGCAAGAGTGTATATCAGACAATTTTATCACAATCTAGTGTCTCTGAGACCCCAAACAAGTAATGTGATATATAAACAGGTTATCAAATAGAAATTCTGATTATAATCAACTCTCACAAGATTAAGAAATGTATCACGACATATCATCCTGATGCATTAATCTCAAGTATGATATTTTGAGCTATTAAAGTAGCTCTTGGGTAGGTTTATTATTAGGATTATATGCATTATTAGGATTATATGCAGTAAGCATATCTACAATATATTAAGTTCCTTAGTAATCGAATGATTTTAAGTTGTCTAATATCAATGCTATACGTGACTGCACAAACGCAAAGACAAACAGATCAATTTCAAATGTACGTCTATTTTTAACCCCTAAGAACAAACAACACAGTTGTAGACATTAAGGAGCAGGTTGTTCTCTGGATGCATGAACGAGTCTAATAGCACGGCCTCCCACGCACCCACCTTATTGTGGTTGTCCAGGACTCAGTGTCTAGCCAGCACATTCTCCATGCACGTCCACACACAAGAGTGCTATAAAGGGGGATGTACTTGTGAATGAAACAGTGTGCAGTGGAGAAATAGGCCATGTGATATAAAGTGGAAAAACAACATGAACTCTGGATGCAGGATTATGTTTGGAATTAAACGGCCCAAGGGGCTGGATAATCTTTAACAGCAGTCTGCAATCTGAGGTCACATTCACACTCTCTCTGTTCCTATCACAGCTTATTTGTCTTTCTCTGCACTTTCCCCCGTTTTTGGCTCTGCACTGGCTCTTTGTCTGCAGCTTTAAAGACTAATATCATTACTTTTGAATGCAATGTATTTGGTATTCATCATTTTGCCCTCTGCTTCTCATTCAATATTTAAGATATACAGATTAATTTATAATCACACACTGCCAGATTTTTACAAGATTCAAGATAATGATTTCTTATAATAAAATGCTTTATTAAGAATCTGACAGTGAGATCAGTGCAGACTCGTATTCTGCCATTACACAAGAAGCCACTGTAAATACAAAAAATAATAGTCATATTAATACAATAATAGTCATATTGTGCTGCATTGTGGGATAGCAGTTTAAGTAATATCATTAGTGTTTACTTTGGCTGGGAACCTGGACCTTTTTATAATTGAATTAATTTTCTCCTAGCAAGTGTAATAGTGTTACAGAACACAGTTGGTTATTATGTAGCAAAAATTACACAAGCTTATTCATTTGCATTTTTATATGTCTGTAATTATACTTGACCTTACATTATCTGGATAAGCAAGGACAACTTCATCAGAAAGGTGTCCAAAATCTCCATACAATTGCTTGTTTAAAACTTGTAATGTAGTGTTGCACCAATTTTTTTATAACACGATATTTTTTTACGAACAAACACTGATACTTAAGTGATTGACTATGAAGTCTGATCATAAATGATGTTTTAACTTCAAACCGTTGCTTCCGACTAGGTCTATCCATAATATTGTTTTATGCATCGCTTTTGATTCAAGAGAGAAATATGAACAGATCAAGCTCTGTTTATAAGCAAAAACAGTTCAAAACAAATATATTAGTGGATTTTATGTGAGAGGACAACAGTGGATGGACTTTTACACTGGAGGAGGCGTTGTTATGGATTATGGACTGGACTATTTTGGCCAGAAGTGATGGCTTAAGTTAAAACACCTAAATTATGTTTCTTACAAGCACACACCGTTTCACTTCACAAGACATTTCTTGATACACTGGAGTCGTTTGGATTAGCTGTTGATTACTGTAATGTTTTTATCAACTGTTTGGACTCTGATTCTGACAGCAACCATTCACTGCAGAGGATCCACTGATGAGCAAGTGATGTAATGCTACATTTCTCCAAAACTGTTTTGATGAAGAAACAAACTAATCTTGGATGGCCTGAGGGTAATTTTTAGCAAATTTTCAATTTTGGGTGAACTATTCCTTAATGAGTGGTAGGGGATTTTTATGCTATTGTGGTGAGCTGAGTCAGGTGAACTACAGTATTAGTATGACTCGTCAACCGGGACTGCAACTTAACATTGGTCACTGCAGTCAACATAATTTTAAAAGAAATTGTCCGTCAAACAGAAAAAAGAAAAAGAAAAAAAGAAACAAAATTAATTTATTCATGCTTGGAAGTCTAACAACACACAATTACAGTTATTGTTGATAGTCATTTGATCACAGTCATTTCCTGCTATTGTCACAGTATGCAGTCGTCATTTATTGTAGAACCACTACTGTAAAAATTACTGTGAAAGTACCACTAGTAGCCAGGAATAAAATGTAGATGCAAATGAATGTACAGAAACTAGTAACCAAATGTAAATTTAAATGAAGGTAGAAACTAATAGCCAGTGATTAAAAAAAAAAAGAAGTTCACCCACATTTATTTCTGTACAGTGTGGAATGTCACCCACTGGTCTGAGCTCACCTTTTATTTATTTTAAATGACAACAACAAACATATGGCACTACTAACATGAGGGAGGATGTTTGAGTCTGTGAGTCACATATATGAGAATGGAAATGATTCTTCCTCATGTATGATTGATACAGCCTATCAAATGTGATGCATCACAGGAATACAGACTTATGCTATTGCTCAAAAACACCCCCATAAGATAACTAAAAACACCTTGCGGTCAACATAACCAGCATGACTTAAAATGACATCATTATGCCTCATGCTGACAAGAAAGATTATTCTTAACTTTCATGTTCTGTTACAATTGACTTTACGGTTTTTATATGTGGGGTGATGTACGTGTATATCATTACATTAATTTAGATATTTAAGTCTTTGTCTTATTTTTCCTCAGACCTCACCGAAAACCAGGTGGCAGATATTATTGAATCGTTAACTGCCTTGTTTATCATGTGACTGGTATCGATTTTAGTAATTCTGTTTCAGTCAAACTGACACAGCTAAAAATGAAAAACTACTAACGATAAACTAAGAAATTAAAATACACAGTTGGCAGGAAAGTATCTCTACACTTTATCATAATAATTTTTTTATTGTATTATTTAATATTTGATTTCCAGGTTAAAATGATAAGAAACATTTTGATGTTTTAATGAAAATTAGCATTGCATTGATTGAAATCATTTCTTATCTGCCAAAATATACAGTATTTCTCAACATTGTCAAATAAACACGTGTACATATTCAGCTCACTCTAAAATCACAAAGCAAAACTAAAACCACTTTTGTAAAAGGAAGAGGAGGAGGATCCTCCCATGCACTGTTTTTCTTTCCCTGAATGTGTGTAAAGAGCAGCTGAGTTCAGCTCCGTCCTTCTTTCTCTTTCACTCCCTCAGTCTTGAATTTCCCTTCATTCACTCTGTCTCTCCCCCGTCTTTTTCCCCTACACTTTCTCCCACAACTGCGGCCACTCTTCCATCCCACACTCCTCCTCCTTTTAAGCTCAAGAATATGAGGTTTTGTGTTCGTACTTGCCTCATATTTGAGCGCATGTCTTTGCATGTCAAATAATTGGTTTGTAACGCAACACCATCATTGCATCAAATGATTATTTAGTAAAGACTCACTTCACAGTTGATATGAGATTAACTGTTCATGTTTTAACTAATTGAATGTGTTAATTTAGTGCAATTAATTAAAAAAAGAATATGCCTCCTGGCCTGTATCTAGATTACACAAAAAGGGATTTTTCTACCATGGCAGTAATCAAATAACATGTTGTTGTTGATGTTCTTGCTGCTACTACAGGCAATACGTCTTGCCAGTCAACAATAACTGAAAAAACAAACAGCTCAGAATGAGTAGATACATAACAAATAAAGTTTTCCATTGTTTCCATTCTCATCGGTTTATTTCATCATATGCTACGTGAATTCAGCATACACACCTGTTGCATTAAGTGTGTGTGTGTGTGTGTGTAGCATTGAATAATCTATATGTGGTTTTGTGAGGGTGTCAGGATGAGGGTGTTCATTTTAAATGTGTAAACTGTTGCGAAGATGGTGCTGTGGGCTGAGGTTAGTGTAACGAGCCATGTAATGTCACAGCTTCCTGTTTGGCAGAGAAAAAAATATAGAACTGTCCCTTCTTGCTGTAGAAATAGGGCCTGTTTACTGTCGGAAAAGAATTCAATAATACAAAATTG